TGGTATCGAGGGCTTTGATTGGAGCTGGAGCAGGTACTGTACTACTACTGTCTGACATTGTGTGTGTGTTTATGTATTGTAAAGGTGGTTTTAATGAATGCCATTTTTATGATTTGTTTCCAAATTTTTTGGCAATTACCAAAAATTGGGTTAGTCAGCTAATTAGCTCCAAATAATTGATATAGTTTTATCAGATTATTATTATTATTATTATTATTATTATTATTATTATTATTATTATTATTATTTTTAATTTTAATTTAGTTATCATTTGATCTAAGTCTTGCCAGAGGCCTTGACTATTACACTGGAGTCATTTATGAGGCAGTACTGATAGGTATAGTATGTGACATGCATATACATGTACTTATGCTGTGTAGACACTTTGAACTGATTTTACTCAAAATTGGATTTTTTACGAATTTTTAAAGTTGCTCAAAAATCGGACAAAAGTCCCTGTACTATAGTACAGGGTCTCTGGCCAAATTTTGCCAAAAATGGAAAGGAGAGATTTCTCCATTTTTATTACATTTTCTGATGCATATACATGTACTTATGTTGTGTAGAAAGTTTGAACTAATTCCGATCAAAATTGGATTTTTTACAAATTTTTAAAGTTGCTTAAAAATCGGACAAAAGTCCCTGTACTATAGTACATTACATGAGGGAACTAAGCCCTTAACAAACATCTTTAACAAAATAAACACAACACAGAAATTACTAGGTTTAGAAGTAAGATAATAATAATAGAATAAGTGATAGGAAAAAAATTAATAAGGCACAATGAATAAGTTAATTGAGGGTGAGATGAGCCTCCGAAGTACAGGGTCTCTGGCCAAATTTTGCCAAAAATGGAAAGGAGAGATTTCTCCATCTTTATTACATTTTCTGATGCATATACATGTACTTATGTTGTGTAGAAAGTTTGAACTAATTCCTATCAAAATTGGATTTTTTACGAATTTTTAAAGTTGCTCAAAAATCGGACAAAAGTCCCTGTACTATAGTACAGGGTCTCTGGCCAAATTTTGCCAAAAATGGAAAGGAGAGATTTCTCCATTTTTATTACATTTTCTGATGCATATACATGTTCTTATGTTGTATAGAAAGTTTGAGCTGATTCTGATCAAAATTGGATTTTTTAGGAATTTTCAAAATTGCTCAGAAATCGGGCAAAAGTCCCTGTACTATAGTACAGGGAATTTTGTCAAATTTCATCAAAAACGAAAAGTTGAGAATTCTCCATTTTTATTACATTTTCTGATGCATATACATGTACTTATGTTGTGTACAAAGTTTGAGCCCATTCCGATCAAAACTGGATTTTTTTGCAAATTTTTAAAGTTGCTCAAAAATCAGACAAAAGTCCCTGTCTTCAGTACAGGATCTCGGTCCAAATTTTGCCAAAAATGAAAAGGAGAAAAATTTCCATTTTAAAAACTTTTTTAAATACGTATACATGTAATTGTGCTGATTTCACTCAAAATTGGATTTTTTCAGAGTCTCTTCAAAAGTTTAAATCAATTAATTTTTATTATTATACTTGTGCATGGATTATTTTCGTATTATTTATAACTCCACCCATTAACTCCGCCCCCTCTAGACAATCCTTCCGTTGATCCTAAATCAAAGGATACTCCATCAGTTGGTTCCATATCTGGCGGTGGTCGCTATGACGACCTAGTAGGAATGTTTGACAGTAAAGGAAGAAAGGTGCCATTATGCTTGTGCAATGTAGTCATGTACATTTTGTGAATAAAAGGAATAATTATAATTTAACACATAAACATTGTAGATTTTTGTCCTCTCCGTAATTTTAAAGCAACGCTATTAGTTGTGCTTCTGATGTTAATCAATTACTGTTTCTCCCTGACCAGGTCCCTTGTATTGGATTCAGTATTGGGGTAGAGAGAATATTCTCAATTTTGGAAGCAAAAGCAAAAGTAATAATAATTGCTAAATTATCTACTATTATTATTAGGCAGTAGGCACACACTTGTTTAAAATTCAGCATACAGTACTGCATGGGCGGTTGCAGAAATTTGGTTTGACCTGGGCATCAATAATTAGTGGGTGTGGAGTGGGTGTGGTTCCATACAATTTTGCAAGGAAAATGGAAAATACTGATCTATAACTTCATTGAGATGGTTTCTTAGCATAAAACAACAAAGAAGCCTGTTGAACTACCACAGCTTACACTGGATGCCCACACCAGAATCATGAATATAATTATTGGTCAAAAAGTCAACCTGGGCATTGCCCCCTAATGCCCAGGCCTGCAACCGCCTATGCAGTACTGACACTAGATTTTACTGTACACTTTTATTCTTGTGTGTGTAGATGTGTGGTAGACATTGTCTGGTTACTGTCAAGGGGGAATATTATCCCCTGGCCTTAAACTCCTGTATTTAAGCTTCCTCCCTCCCCTATCAAAATTTACAAATTTTTTCACTAGCCCCCTTGGCCACAATTCTCTAATAGTAAATCCTCATAGCAGGAAGACACTGGTGATTATTTATTAATGTTGTAATAAGTTTTCTTGTAGTCTGGTGGAATGGGTCAGGTGAGGACCATTGATACTCAAGTGATGGTGGCTTCTGCCCAAAAGAACTTGTGCAGGGAGAGAATGAAGATATGTACCTTGTTATGGGATGCAGGAATAAAGGTAAGTAAGAGAGAGAGAGAGAGATAAGTTAAAATAGTTTTTGATGCTGTTGTCTTTAGTTTTGAGGCAATAGCCAAAACTAAGATTCACTAAAATTTAATTAAGTAATTAAAAGTTTTGAGCCACATCCACTTAATTGATACCTTTGATTAATTTGTTAACTTTATTTATTATTATTATTATATTTAATTTTGTTCACAAAGGCTGAAATGTCATACAAAGTTAATCCAAAGTTCTTAAATCAAGTGCAGTACTGTGAGAAGGAGTTAGTGCCACTGATGGTGATCATTGGGGATCAGGAACTAGCTCAGGGAGTAGTTAAACTAAGAGATGTTCAGACACAGGAAGAGGTGAGGAATTTCATGTACTACAGTAGAGGAGGCTACACTTTTAGTTAGTAGCTAGATATCAATAAAGTATATATATTGTGGCAGCATTTCTGGTTACACAGTACATACATGTATATTTGACAAAATTTAATTCGACTAAGAAATAAAGAAATCCTATTTTGACAGCATGTTACCCGTAGCATCACAAGTTGGCTTAGTTGCCAAAAGTGGAACAGGATATGGCAATGTGCTGCTTATTACAAGATCAATGTAAAATGTTGCTTGCATTCATAGTGATAGGTGTACATGTAGAACTGAATGAAAACCTTGTATATGTCTTAGGTACTTTACATGTTTACATGTTTATGTTTCAGCAAATGACATGTGTCATAGTTTTTTTATATTTTCTAAAAACAATTGAATTTATGCTGAAAATTATGTTAATGAAACTTACTATATAGTATAGTTTAGTGATGTCATAATGGGAATTTTTTTCAGTGATATGATGAATAGCTAATAGTGTAATGATAATTATAAATCTGGTCTTTGTCCTTTATTAGGTTTTAATTAGAAAGGAAGAAATAGTTGAGGAGATTCAGAAACGATTGTCACTTTAATTATTATTGATATTTATGTAATGTCTATTTCTTCTTTTACTGGTGTGCTTTTGTATACTACTAATCATCATTTAGTTGTATTGAAATCATGAATATGCTTGTAAATGCTTGAGAAAAGAGACAATATATTCTGTCACTTGACATGAAGCTGTAGAATTGAATGGACTATTGTCCAGTTGAGGTGTCAGTCTAATTATAGTGACTAGTTGGCTTTCTTATTGCAGATGACTACTACATTATAGTAGTCATGCGTATAAGTGTAGCCAACTAGTCACTATAACTGACACTTCAACTGGACAACATTCAATTGACGTACGAACTTCAGTTGAAGTTATAGTGACTAGTTTGCTTTCCTATTGCAGATGACTACTATACTGTAGTACCTCAAAATACATTGAACTTACCCTTTAAATTATTTGAGTTTACAGTAAGCCATCCTTTATGTAATGTAAGAATAGAAATTATCTCAATTCTTACTTTATGTAAATAGTTCAGCCATTGGTTTATGATGCACTTCCTTTCTTAATGCATAGCAATACCTTGCATTAATTTTGCAGTGTAAATCATTCTTCATTGTAAATCAGCCTTCATTGTAAATCAGCCTTCATTGTAAATCAGCCTTCATTGTAAATCAGCCTTCATTTTTAAGTGTATTAATGCATGTAAATAAAAGTAGCCTGGGCACTCTTCACATTACATGCTATACCTCACCATTCAGTGTTCAGTAGATACATGTTGTTGCATACTGCAGTACAGTATACATCAATTGAATGGACTATTGTCCAGTTGAGGTGTTAGTCCAAGTTATAGTGACTAGTTGGCTTTCCTATTGGACATGACAAGGATACTGTATACTGTAATCAACTTATATCTGAGAGTAATGAGCTGTATAGCTGGTCACATTGTAAGCCCATACACAGATACACAGTTGCATGTATTTTAGGAGACAGATCAAAACCAACCACAAAAGCTGCTAGCTTCTATATACTAAGTTGAATATATACACGAGTTTATAAATAGTGCTTTCAACTTCCAAGTTCTTGTGTGCATGTGAATGGAATGAATCTTAAAATGTAATTACATCATTCTAGCTGCATGGTTGCTTAGTAGCTGGATAGCAGTTGTATATGCTTGTTACCAATTTGAAAAGTATCCACTGAATTCATTTGACATTATTCCATGAGGACAGCTCACATGTATATATGTTGTTTACAGAATACACTGTATCCTTGTATTGAGGTACTACAGTATAGTCATGTGCAATAGGAAAGCCAACTAGCCACTATAATTAGACTGACACCTCAACTGGACAATAGTCCATTCAATTCTACAGCTTCACTGAGGTCTTTTGCTGGAGTCATGTCATGTGCTTGAATCATGTCATGCAGCTAGCCTCTGATTGGTCAGTTTTTGCTTAATTGCTAATGAATATTGATGAGGTACCTAATAGTATATAAGGAGGTGACCAGCAGCAGTCAATCACTTCTCACTAAAACAAGAAATTATCTCACAAGAAGAAGGAATACTCTCTATCAAGGAAAGGAATCATGAAGACTCTACTCTCACTCTTCTGTCTGGTTACTTACCTCACCTGTGCTCTCAGGTATGTTACTACAGTATCAAATCAATGTTACTTTTCTCTTGTACATGCAGTGCTAATGGCTGGCCAGTCTCTCTTGACATGGCTTGTAATAAAGCTCTTTCTGCAGTTGCTTGCTCTTTTGAGTTTACCAACAATGCAAATGAGGATCTTTATCTACTGAAACGTAACACTCCTCTTGAAGGACTCGACTCTCAATTTGTCTCTGTCTCTCTTGACGGTCGTCCACTGGAATATGAAGGTATTATTATGCGCCGTGCTCCTCCTACAAAGGATGAGTTTGTTCTCTTGAAGGCAGGTGAGAGTATCTCTGCAACAGTCCAAATCACTGATGCCTTTAGCATTGATACTGATGGTCTCTACACTGTACAATACAGTAGACCTTTACAGTATCTGTCAGGTAAGAAGTTCAAGGAATCGTTTGTACGTGAATCCGTTCAACTTTACTTGGAAGACACTTCTGCTCTTATGAAACCAAAGATAGAAGAAGTAGAAATCGATTACAC